CCGCATCAGACTTTCCGTTATATCAAAGAATGATGCAAAAACCCTAACACTAAACTATAGAACCGACTCGGCTTATAATACTATCTATGGTATCCCAAACACTATCTATGGTGTCACAGCGGACGGTCGGACGGACGGTGCTGTCTGACGTCACACTGACGTCACGCGGACAGTCTGGTTCATGGAACCATATGCCACCCTAGATTGGTGGCCGCACAAGGAAATTTACCAAACTGATTATTTTGTTATTCTCCTACTAACCTTCTACATTATTCTAATGAAATGAATGGTAAATTAATCAAATATAGACTAAAAATAGTCAAATTCGAAGCCTAGTCCATGCGAAGTAGCACGAACCCGCGCATGTTTGTTGTGTTCGATTTTCTAGGTCATGCTGTTAAACCTCTGCTAATTCGATAATACTGGGCATCTTCCGACCAATCAGCGACGCGTAATAAAATATTATAATTTATACGGAATAATGGGCGGTCTTCAGAGACCTCTGATCTTTGAATCGACTTGCGGACTTGTTCCGATTTACTACGCATCAGTGTATCGGAACGAGTAAAAAATATAATTTGCTGATGAAAAGAATAACGAACATATATCTACACTATCAAGATACTGCTCATATTATGTAACCGAATCAAATTGCGTATTAGTACATGAAGATGGCAGCCACATCTAACATATGACATCACTTACACTATTATTATTATATTATATATTGTTTGTTGTTTTAAATGCCCTATTAGTATAACTAGACATGCCCGTTGCCAATGACGTAGACACTGCCGTGTTTGTTTATATGTATGTCAATCAAAAAAACTTTTTTATTAAGTGGTTAAAACCAAAGATCGTATAGTGCCGGAGGCACAAGATAGACCACTCATGGAAATCACGTGCAATGACGTGTAGTACGCTATGGAGTGCCACGTCCGCCATTTTAGGAAGATAACCCGCTCTGCGTCTGTTTGATACATAGAAATAATATGGATACCATGGTTAGTATATATATATATAATTATATATAATGTAATAGATAATATTTTTATGCCAATAACTGTATCAAAATCTCTCATTCAAGTGTACAAAATCTAACAATGATTCATAATCGGATGTTACTATCATACTATGTACACAGTGCAGGGTGTAGTGTCAGACAGTGGTAAGTGCACAGGCACTTCATTGGACCGTCTCAAACAAATATGGTAAATAAACACTAAATGTATCTACTATCAAAGTATTAATGTTTTTTCTACTCTATTTCGCCTATTATTGTCGATAACTGGCTGTAAATGCCGTTAAATGCTCATCTGCAACCACAAGTATTGAAGTACACGCAGGCGTACGCCCTGTGCACAAACAACTGCCACTGGTACTACATGTATCAACGAAGATTGCACAACTCTTTCACGAATGGATTTTCGACAAAAAGAATATTTTCTCACCTTCGTATTCTTGGGGAACCTGAAGAAGACAGGTCGGGCTTGCACTGACGATTCGAGCAATTTACAGCAGAAACAGTGAGCAATTTACAGCAGAACAGTAAGCTGAGCTGACAGCACACAGCAGACAGTTGCACAGCAGCATATACACACTGCAGATACAGCAACATCTGGGAACTTCGTGTGGTTTTGCTTCCTAAAATGGCGGACGTGGCACTCCATAGCGTACTACACGTCATTGCACGTGATTTCGCATGAGTGGTCTATCTTGTGCCTCCGGCACTATACGATCTTTGGTTTTAACACTTAATAAAAAAGTTTTTTTTATTGACATACATATAAACAAACACGGCAGTGTCTACGTCATTGGCAACGGGCAGTGTCTAGTTATACTAATAGGGCATTTAAACAACAACAATATATAATATAATAATAATAGTGATAGTGATGTTCATTGTTAGATGGTGCTGCCATCTTCATGTACTAATACGCAATTTGATTCGGTTACATAATATGACAGTATCTTGATAGTGTAGATATATGTTCGTTTCTTTTCATCAGCAAATTATATTTTTTACTCGTTCCGATACACTGATGCGTAGTAAATCGGAACAAGTCCGCAAGTCGATTTCAAAGATCAGAGGTCTCTGAAGACCGCCCATTATTCCTATAAATTATAATATTTTATTACGCGATCGCTGATTGGTCGGAGATGCCCAGTATTATCGAATTAGCAGAGGTTTAACAGCATGACCTAGAAAATCGAACACAACAAACATGGCGGGTTCGTGTACTTCGCATGGACTAGGCTTCGGAATTTGACTATTTTTAGTCTATATTTGATTAAATTTACCATTCATTTCATTAGAATAATGTAGAAGGTTAGTAGAGAATAACAAAATAATCAGTTTGGTAAATTTCCTGTACGGCCACCATCTAGGTGGGCATATGTTTCCATGAACCAGACTGTCCGCGTGACGTCAGTGTGACGTCAGACCACCACCGTCCGTCCAGACCGTGTGACACCATAGATAGTGTTTGGGATACCATAGATAGTATATAAGCCGAGTCGGTTTATAGTTAGTGTTAGGGTTTTTGCTTCATTCTTTGATATACAGAAAGTCTGATGCGGAAGTTGATATGCGTAGTATGGAATATGACCATGCGCAACCACCAGCACCATCAGCAGGCTGTATGCATTCAACTTCGGAGATAGCCGAGTTCGTGCGTGACATCAGTGTACGTCACGCGGACAGTCTGGTTCATGGAAACATATGCCCACCGATTATCTAGTTGCCCCGCCGGACCAGCTGACACGAGCAAGCAGTCGCCCGGTCAATTTTCTAATCGCCACTGGCAACTGGACGACCGCTAGTTTCTCACGCTGGAATAAATACAAAATGTACACCAAATAACTTTCTGTAAATGTAGGTGGGAACCTGCGCTATAATGTTGTTGTTTGTGCACAGCGGCGTACGTGTGGTGTACTTGTGTGTTGTAGAGGAACATTTAAACCGCATTTACAGAAAGTTATTTACTAATAATAGGTGAAAGAAAGTAAAGAAATATTAAAGCGTGTATTGCCAGAATTTTCCAGTGTTTTCCCCACTTTCATGATACCTACCGTTATTGCTTGAGTAACAGCAATTGTCTAGAC